GTAGCTGCAAGATTTCTTAGTAACGAAGCATCACAGAGAGCTCGGGAAAGTCTTAGATGGAAGCTGACACATGTGGCTAGAGGCTAATAGCGCTCGATTTTTGATATTGGCTCTAGATTTGCGGTCAGAAAAATATCTTTTTGCAGGTTAATGAGACTTTTTTGAAATTTGAACTTTTGACGCTGACCGTTAATTTGAAAAGTAAAATATCAAAAGTCTAGCTCTATTAGCCTGTGTTTTCATGAGCTGAAGGCCAGCCCGAGCCCTCCGCAGCGTTTCGTTACTGAGAAACCTTGCAGCTACGGATAGCCTCATTTGGTCACTGTTGTGGCGACATCTCACAAACCATGCTAAATGGAGCCAAACAAAAAGTTCCGTCACCATACTTTCACAAGATCAGCATCTCGTTAAAGTTTGGTCAAGATCGGACTTACAGTTCCAGAGATAGGTTTTTGACGCGGGACAGGGGCTTACTTTGCTTTTTCTCCTCTTTCTGATCTTAATCTAGTACTGTCACTAGACATTTTGATTTGTCTTCAATTCTCTTTGAATTAAGCTTACTTGTTTAGATCCATCTGAGCAATATACTCTACGAGCAATTAATGGCGAAATTTTTAAACTAGAACACCTTCCAAATGAAATTTTACTAGAAATATTCAAATACATGATTGCTACCGATATTGTACGCGGCTTGTTGAATTTAAACGCTCGATTAAATTCAATAATTAATGATGCAAACTTGAATGTTCATTTAGAAGATGTATCCAAATGTGATTTTGATTATAACTGCGAAAATATTCTAACTACACAATTTCAACAACAAGTGCATTATCTTCAACTATCTAATGAGGATACATGCAAAGGAATTAACTTATTATTAACGAAGTGTAATTTTGAACAGTTTCATAATCTAAAATGTTTGACAGTAATTGAACCAAATGATTCACTGGATGCCATTATTACATTGTTGCCCACTTTCAAACAATTAAAGTTTCTCAAATTAAAAGAAACCGTTCATCGTTCTAGAGATACATTACATTTATTCAGTATTGTTTTATCAGATAAAATGCCATCATTAAAAAATTGTATGTTACTGTTTAATGAACTGATTGATTTAAGTCAATCGAGTTTATCTAACATAGAATATTTAACATTAGAAAATTGCCATTTTCATGATTTATTACAATTGTTCAATTATACACCAAAAATAAAAGCATTAACTGTTGGATTAACCTGTTTAGAACATGAAAATAGAGATTGTACAAATTTATTCTCAAAAGTACCTAATTTAATAAATATAAATTTTTGTAGAACTATTGGTATTTACTTTGAATATATTGAAGAATTATTAAAAAATTTACCACAATTAAAAGAATTATCGTGCACTGCATATAAGCTTGATTTTTCGAATGCTGAATGTTGGTACAATGTTCTCAAAACACTACCATTACTAGAAAAATTTCACCTTAATTTAATGTTGACCAATATAACTAGAGTAGTAAAAGAAGATATAATATCAAAATTTGACTACTATTTTATTGATAAGTGGCCAATGATTTACGAACATCATACGATCAATGAAAATATTTTACATATTTATACAATTCCTTATCCATCATCAGGGTTTCCAGCATCATCATATTCTTATATTTCAAATATAAAAAATAGAACAAATAAAACTTATCAAAATGTTGAACACGTGAATTTAGTTATCAAAAATACTAGTCAATTAACATTATCGAGTCATTATCCAAATGTTTATTCATTAAGAATAGATTCAGAAGAAGAATGGGGAGAA